TGGTGTCTCTTTAAAGAAAATGCAAAAGTGCTTTGCTGGGGAGAATAGAAAGGGGCTTTCTGAAGAGGTGCTGAAGACATGAAAATTCAGAGTGGTGATTGGTCACCTCTGCTTGATTGACAGGTTGCAGGGAAAAACAAAAACCCATTTGTTCTGGCTTAATGGAACTGGAAAACAGAAAATGAGTATCAGGTAAAAATTCCTTTTTTAAAATCTTTGCAGTTCTCCTTTAAAAAGCGGAGTTTTTACACAAATCTACACCTCCCCCACTCCAATAAATTAGGAGTAGGAATTCCAGAAACAGGCAGTTGCTAAGTTGTGTAATGTGGGTTGTCTATGTCAGTGCGTTTTCTAGCAGGCAGGTGTTCTGAAACACCGCAGCAGCCAATGCTACTGGGTTAGCTTAGCAGAAAGGCAGAGGATCGAAAGGGTGTAGTGACTAAGCCCTGAACTGGACCCAGCTCTCTGGTTAGGCTCATTAGCAGGACGCTCAAGGGGAAGCTTTTATTTTCACTTCCTATACTGTGCCTGCTTTGTGGATAAAGTCTGTCAGTTTCTACTACTATCAATTTGGCATCTTTCATGACCGTTATTACAAAATTCACTGAAAAGTGAATAGCTAAAAAGTAGGCTATGTAACTTCCATCTAGCAGTATACTGTCTTACAGATTTTATAATAAATTTCAACATCAGAACCACAGTTTTGAGAATCATAATTGAAAATGATTTATTTCTGGTAACTTAATTATTTTGTATGTTGATGTATTTCAGATTGAAGGACAAGGACATGGTGCAGTTTTTGACTGCAAGTGCTCTCCTGATGGACAGCATTTTGCATGTACTGATTCTCACGGTCACCTTCTGATTTTTGGCTTTGGTTCCAGTAGCAAATATGACAAGGTACAGTGCAAGATGAAAGTCAAAATGTTTGTCTGTGTTGAATGCATTTGTGCAAACTTCCCTTCAGTGCTTCATTTTAAGGGGGTGTATCTTAACACAATTTTGAGCCAGTAGTATGGGATGTTTCAGATTCTTGTTGACATTGAGGTTTGTTTCACTGCCTTTTTTAAACTATGGAAACTACTGTTTACATGGGAAGTTAAAACTAATTTAAAAACCAAAACAAAACAATTAAAAAAAATCACCCAGTCACCGTCTACTCTTTTAAGTGATGAGGTTACAAGTGTCTACTAGTGGATCCACATGGATAATGTGAATAAACTGCAGTGGAATTGATAATAGTTAAACATTTTGCTTTAAATATTTTTCTAGTTTCTAACTAAGACCAAAAAAGGCGGGGGGGAAGTGTGTAATAGGGAGCGTGTAATAATTCCTGTTGTCTGTATTTAAACATTGCATAGCCTGGGAGACAATTATTTACAATAAACGTACTATATGTTCTAGTGTTACAATTTTATGTCTGCTAATGAAGTTCTGCTGTCGTGGATGCTTTGGTGGTTACACAACAATGTTCCACCGTTACTGTGTAATTAAAATATTACATCTTTATTCTAATGTCATAGTCTACATTGTGTATTCTAAGTGTGGGTGTCTTGCCACAGACCCTCATGACTAAAGATACGTGGTGGTAGTGGTTTTTTTTTCTCTGTGGATGAACATGCCCTATGAACCATGCAGGTTACCTAGTTTGGAGTGCCCACAAGGCCCTAGTTTTTCTTTTACCACCCAGGGAAGGGGTGAGGTGTGTCTCTTCTCCCTCTTTCTAAGACTTAAGGAGACATACCTGCTCCAAGATTTTAATCTCTGCTTCTGTAGCTGATACTTGAAGGTTATTCGTGAAGTGCTGTCTTCTGGATCTTGCCTCGTCCTTTGGATCTTTGGACTCAGGCTGGCCTTGAAAGCATTTTGGCAAACAGCAATGCAGAGGGCCCTGAAGGAGGGATAGCAAAAGGAATTTTAATCTTTGTCTTGTAAGCCACTGCATTTCTTTCTGTAGTTTTCCAGCTCTTATTTTGATGCTAGTTACAGTAGCATTTGCATATTGGGAATTTTTTTTTTCTTGTCTCTCAACTATAATTTGAAGTACTCAGTACTTGGCTGCTGTTGCTGTCCCTCAGCTATTACTAGCTGTGCATTTCCACTTCCATTCCAAAGAAAACAAACAAGAGCAGAGACACCACAAAAAAGGAAAACCAGGATTATCAGATCATTTTCAAGGTCTTTGTCTTTCAGAGGTCTTACTCTTCCAAACTTTAAAGCTTGTTTTAATAGAAGCATTTTTCTCACGATGTCCATGAATTGTTCTTTTTTTATTTTTCTTTCCAATCATTTTGGAAATGTATAGTCCCCTACTACTCAGAAACGTTGGAAATTAAATTGAAACGAAGATCCTTTTTGTCTTTGCTGTGATGGACCAGGAGTTTCCTTTACACTGCCATTTGAGAATTTACCTTGTGAGGGATTAGGTCTGTTTGAAGTATTGTTTTTCACTTCTTGAACTCCACGGACCCTTTGTTTTCTTGGGGTTTTCGCTGCAGCCTCTGAGAAAAGATTATGTTTAAAATTTTTCACTTACTGGGTGATTTAAAATTATCTTCTCCAGCTGTTACTGTGCCAATGGCAATCTTGGCATTCTTGACTGTAGCAGAAATGGGAGCAAATAGGATGACATTTGTACCTCTTTAATCTCAGTCTTCAACTCTCAGAAAACTCAACTTGGACATTTCCAATCTCTTTCTTGTCTGGTTTCATCTCCTCTTTCATTTTTGTCTGACCTGCTTTATGGAAAAATGTAACTATAGATAGATATGTGCTGGAGATTAGGTGTTCTTTTTTTCTGTTCTCTCACTCTCAGATATTTGGGTTTTTTTCAGACGTCTTCTGAGAATATGCTCTGGTAGGACTTGTGGTTTTTTGGCTTTAAAATGGTTTCCATCCATCTTGGGGAATGATTTTTACAGAAGAAAGGAGTGTGGTAACCTGTCCTGTATTCCTGCATTTGCGAGTTTTGCTCACGACAAAGATTCATAGCTGAGATAGTGTTAGCTCTGCTGAGAGAACAAGCTCTTGGTTTTCCACATGTATGGTTTTTTCATGTTATGTTCAGATAGTATCTATGTTTCCTAGTTGCCTGGAACCACTGTCCAGGCTTTTTTCTCCCCAGTGTGATCTTGGCCATTACGAAGGCGATGGGGTGTTTTTGGTTTGTGGGTTGGTTTTTTTTTTTTTCCTTTTTTGATGATACTTTTTTTTTTTTTGTGGAGTAATTCTTGAGAGGGGGGAGAATACAGTTGCTGCGTGTTTGGGGCTCCTTTGTTATTTGACCCAATTAAGGGAGCCTTGAGCCAATCTCAGCTGAGATTTCTGAGTGTGAAGATCATCAGAGATGAGCTGAGCTCACTGTCAACAGGACATGTGCACTTCATGCAAGAAGTTCTTGCTTAGGTGGAAACTTGTCCAGGAATGAAAGCATAAGGTACCTTTCTCTTGATTTTAAATCTTTGATTAGACTAGATCTCTGAGCTTTCTAAGGCTTTAGTTCCTATAGACTGCCCAAACCACAGTTCTTTGCAAGTTGACAGCTCCTGTGTGGTGGACTGGTGCAGTAGTGGGGAAGATCTCTTTGCGTTTGTGTAGGTGTGCCCATTTGGAGAAACTGAGCGTTCTGAATGTGTAGTGGAGTTACTGAAGGAGAGTGTATTTGTAGCTCACAAGCTCAGACCTTGTAGAAAGCTTTCCCACTGAAACCCAAGCTGGGTTTGTGAAGTCGTGTGTACAGAGGACTCATACGTCCTAATGGTGGTGTAGTATCTTTTTTTTTGTCATGAATTTGATCTCTAATAGTATGTCAAGAAATAGGTCTGATTGTTAGTAACTGGTTGTCTGCTGAACATAGCCATTTAAGATTCTCTAAAATGTCTAATTATTTTGATTTTTCTCAGGATTTGTAATAGCCTGAGGATAAGGTTGTTGTCCTGGGTTCCCTGAGAGTTGATCTGAGCCTGCATTCTCCATGAAATGCCATTCTTATCTCGTGGAGTAAAAAAATTGTTGTTTACTCTCTGTACCATACTTCATTGAGGTACAGAATACACAGAAGGGTAGTTGCAAAGAAGTCCCTCATGATCTTGCACCAGAGACTATTCTGGTAGAGGTCGCTAAATCTAAGGAAGGATTTTCAGATCTTCCCTTTCAAAAGGCTTAAAAAACCTGGGATGCAGACAACACAGCACATTAGAACTTACAATCTGTATGATCGTGCCATTGGAATCTCTTATTTCTCAGTGTGGGAAGTACTTAATAGGAAAATTTGCCCTAGGTAAAAGTACTGGATAGTCTACTATTATCATTCTAGGGAAAATCGTAAGTCCTCTTAGAGGCCCTGTATCTTTATCATATTGAGCTATTTGAGCTGAAGGAACAAAGTTGTTAAGCAGGCCTTGATTCTGTCAGTCAGACACATGAAAGTACTTGCATCTTTCTCATTCAGCCTCTGTTAAGTTAACAGAGAATCTGGCAACAAGACTTCATCCAGTCAGGGCTTCTTACTGCAGTGGGATATCACCTTGTCCATACGCACTTTGTGAGGGTAACCTTTTGAATCCCTGAAGTAAATTCTTTGCCATTGCATCTTTCCATGCTTCTTTCCAATTTTCTTCCTGTTGTTATTTTTCTGAATTTTTGTGGGGTCCAGATCCCATGATTCCTATGATATTTTTAATTTTTTTTATCCACCTCACGTGGATGCATGTAGGCACTTTCTCATGTTGTAATTGGCAGATATTTGTCATCATCTTTCCTGTCTGGTCTTCTCACATCTAGGACAGGAGAACTTTGTCATTGAGAAACCAGACCTCTGAGTAGATGCTGTAACCTCTGCGTTACTGATTTCTACGTAACAAGTTACTGGAAACTATGTTATGGATTGGTCACAACAGAGCATACTCTTCAGAAATCAGAGTATGTTCTACGACAACTCAGGCCTGCCTCTGTCTGTGCTCAAATACTTGTCTTAGGTGTTTTTTGAGATCTCTATGCCTTGAGTCGATTGTTCAATCATTTTTATGCTGCACTGGAAATTTGTGTGAATGATGATGTTATTTTTACTTGTTCAAAGTTAAACTGAGTACATGAGCTGCCAAGGGCTTTGCTTGCCAGAAGGTAGTGTTGGGATGTGTAGTATACGGCACCAGCTTGTCTTGTGTTCTCTTTCTCTTTTCTCCTTGTGGTTCAATATCTTTCTGATTGCACAATACTGAGATGCAAGTGCTAGTGAGGGGTGGAGCATAAGCCTTTTTACGTACTATGTGGACGAAAGAATTCCTCAGTCTTGAGTGTCTGTGGAAAGTCATCTAGAATAAATTATGAGCAGGTGGGCTGAAATAAAAAAGAAAACTTTGAACCTGAAGAATTCAACTTTAGATCAGCTTTATTTTATCTACTGGAACTTTTTCACGTATCTGGTATTATAATAAGAATATATGTGTTTGGCTGCAGGCATTAAAATATTTGGCAATGACATGATGTGATAAATATTTTCCTATTCCTCTTCTTCCTACACCATAGCTCATAAGTCTGTGGCACAGTTTTCATTATCAAAATATACATATATTCAGAGTATAGAAGAAAATTTGTAACCTATTAAGTATGTCCATGCTGTGTTCTGTCAGATGACTTCACGTAGTTAAATATTGCCCCATTCCCCTGTTCTTTAAATGCTCCTCACCCTCAAACATGTGGGTTGTTCTTCTTGCACTATAATATAGAAAAGGAGTAGTGGGGGAAAAAAAAAAATCATGGAGTCATTAAATTTTCCCCTTTAAACCGAGATAAACAGATCAGCTTATAACCTTGCTTTTGCAAAAGTGACCATGAGTAACATTGTTAAAAATACTTCTGGCAATTATCTTCTGTATGTTTTTTTTAATAGGTTCTTTAAAAAAATTACAAAATGACTTTGTTTACAGATAGCAGATCAGATGTTCTTTCATAGTGATTATCGGCCCCTTATCCGTGATGCCAACAACTTTGTCCTGGATGAACAGACACAGCAGGCTCCACACCTTATGCCTCCCCCATTTTTGGTTGATGTGGATGGCAACCCTCATCCTGCAAGGTATCAAAGGCTAGTTCCTGGACGTGAGAACTGCAGGGAAGAACAGCTTATTCCTCAGATGGGAGTGACATCTTCAGGTATGGAAAATTTCGCTTCAGTACACAGTAGCCTATCTAGTTACCTCCAGTGTTCTACGCTTTCCCTTTCACTTTGTCGTCCTTTTTCTTCATTTCTGGGCATAGTAGTTCACGTAGTGTGGAAGAATTGCAATGTCCTTGGCACTGATTGCTTGTGACAATTTCACTTACAGTATTGTCATCAATCAAGTCAGTACTAGTTGATGCTACAACACCAGTTAGCTTGGAGCTCATTTCCTTGTTGGAATGGTGTATGATGCTAAGTGAGCTTTCAGTTGATCTCTTTGGGTAAGATTTCCTACTTCAGAAAACCTAGGAAATAGACTGATCTTTCACAGATCAGTTGGAACAGGTAACACCTACAAGAAGAGAAAAATGAGAGGATACCTGAAACATGCGAAATCCTCCTCTTTAGATGAAGGCAGTCATTCAGCTTGAGCTTTGATGATTTGGTTGGAGAACTCTGAAGACTTGATGAGGATACAAAATCTAGGAAGTTCCTTGAAAGTTATGTTCTCCATGCACACAACATGGGAGGAACATGCATATTTTGGGCCAGTGGCTGGCTGTTGGAAACTGCCTAAACGTGGTCCACGTGGGTGGGGATGTAAAAATGATGCCTACTTGTTACGTGTCACTAGTTTGATATTAGTAGGAATGAGCAAACAGTGACTGGTGAAAGTAGCTTTAAATGTTTTCAAGATAAGAATTGTTAAGTATTTGGATATTCTTGAAAATATGGGAAAACTGACTGTGCCTGTAGATAGTGGCTTATATGTACACCATACTTAAGCCTGTGGTGTGTCAGACATTCCAGGAAGGTTAACTAACAGCGTTGTTACCAAAACATCTCTTTATCCTCATTTGTAGACCTGACGATTACAAGCCACTGAATACTTAAATAATAATTTTTAAGGAGCATTTCCATATTTCCTCTAAAATTATAGGAAGAAATGCTACCTGAGAAGCAATTGAAAAAAAGGAAAAAATCCTTTCTGGTGAATATATGCCATGTTTTATCTCTAACTTTTTAGCTAGTGGCTTTGAAGCTAAATTCGATTTCCAAGGCAGTATGCGATTTTACTTCGTTGTTACAGCATGGATCCATGACATTCTGAAATTCTCCAAGTTTGAAAATGTCCTGGGCACATTCTCCAATATAATACTTTGAAACAAGTCAGACTGCACATGGACCCAACAATATTAAATCTAATGGTGTGGCTGCATGACACATGAATGCCTATAGGAAGATGATGTCCATAGCATTTTGTTTAATAACAGGAAGCCATCAACCAGGCTGACAGAGTACCAGAGAAATTTTAGAGATATAGAAGACATTCTTCTACCTCTTTACAGTTTAGCAACAATATATGCCGTCTTATGCAGAGCTGAACTGTGGTCATGTATTTTATATGTTCCTTTCCACTAAGGAAGCTCTATTTCTTTCTGAAACTTTATTGTGGGATTTGATGGATCTCCCTCAGAGCACTGACAATTTATTTCTTGTCAAGTTTTCGGTAGGGGCAAGAGCAGGGCGAATTAGATAGTCATGCTTGGTTACTGCTTAGATGTCCCTTAAACCAGATGTTTTGGAAAAAATCAAATACATACCAGTGTCTTTATTATTTCATTTTTTAAAAAAACTTGCTGTTACTTGCGGATGCAAAATCTCTCAAGCTAGATACATTAAAAAAACATTCATTTTGTTTAGGTGGCAGTTTCCTTATTTAAGATCATTCTTGGGTTACTAATAGTAGTTCCATTGTTTTCAGTAGACAGTATGTGTGTTCATGAAATCACCAAATGAATGTGACTGTCTCACTACATGAGTCAGAAAACATCCAACTGTGGTTATACCAGAGCTCATTCCATGATTCCAAGCTTCTGCTGCTTTAGGGAAGTTGACTTCAACTACAATAACCTTGAAACCCTGAAAGCACTATCTTAAATATTTATGTTTTTTCTGCATACCATCATCTATTAAGAGATGGCTGCTTCTGTCTAGCCATAATCAAAGCTCTTCATTTCATAGCACAATTACTGTAATATCTTGCATTTGATCTTGCAAAGTGCAGTGTATACTATGATATCTCTCTGGAATCACGCTGGAAAGATAATTTCTGTAGCTTGTTTCTTTGAACATTGTCATCCCTCATTACAAAGTTTTGCAAGTTCTGCTTCCCTTGACCGCAGAGCTTCCCACCACTCCACTCCACCATCTAACTATTCTGTGTGGAGGTATCTGACTTCCTTTTCAAATCAGTACTGTAACCCTTGCCTTTTTCTCCATACCTCTCTAATTTTTTGTGTCCATTGTGAGTATGAAAAAAGGTTTTGTGTTGTTTATGCTTACATGCTGTATTTTTTGCTTGCTGCACAGAAGCAGTATTATCACCTTGTAATCACTTCTGTGAGAGCTATTTCCTGTCTTTTGTGCAAGAGGTGTCTTGACAGGACACCCAAAAGGAAGTGTCCTAGCTGTTCTACATACCAAAGAAAATTAGCATTACTTAACTGGTGTCATCTTTATGCCTACGTGGAGCTCAATCAAGCATTTTTACTGCTTGCTGTTATCCAGTATAGATAATTCTTCTCTAATTCAGTTAGACCTTCTTGATGTAGTTCTTCCATTGAAGTTTATACGAAAGTGTTTTATAATGCATTTGGGGCAGGCTAAGCACGCATTTGAACAATTTACATTGACTAAGCTGACAGACGACTGTTTTATTAAGCTTCTGTGACTTGCTGGCACTTGATCAAATTTAAACTTTTATTGGGAGTGGCGTGTGATCATCTTGACCCTGCTCCAGAAAATACAATGCTCTCAATATAAAGAAAAAAAGTTGTCCTGTTTAAAAAATGGCTGTTACAAAAATATGCATTAGCCCATACTTACACATGTGATTATATACTGTACTTGTAAGTTTCAAAGCTAAAACTAAGATGAGCTGTTTGTAACATTTGGTTCTTTAACATTTGTGTGTTGTTCTCTTGTATGTTTTACTTCACAGGACTGAATCAAGTTCTTAGTCAACAAGCAAATCAAGAAGTTAGTCCGTTGGATAGCATGATTCAAAGACTTCAGCAAGAGCAGGACCAGAGACGTTCTGGGGAGGCAGGAACCAGTAGCACCAGCCGGATAAGCAGAGGTAGATTACTGGGGGATGGGTATTGTGGCTTTTCTACTGAAACAGCTGAGAGTGGAAAACGTAAATCACATTATTGTGCATGATTTATGCATTTTGTTGAACTACTAGAAAGCAGGTATGGAGCCATAGAAAATAATACAGCTTTCCCGTCTTTTTTTACCTTTCTGCAAAATCTTAGGATTCTTAACATTACAAACTTACCTGTGTTAAAGTTGTTGTCTGCTCACTCAGGGAAACTTGCAGCAACTACGTTCCCTGAGAAGTAACTACCTTACTGTTTAATCTGGAATTGGCCACCTACTTGATTGAAACCTGAGTTGCCTCAAATAAGGAATCATAGAATCATAGAATCATTAAGGTTGGAAAAGACCTCTAAAAATATCAAGTCCAACGGTTAACCCAGCACCACCATGCGCACTAAA